CAGGGCTCCTCGCCTTTTGCTCTAAACAGTTGCTAGGAGGAAGTGTGGCCGGATGTGAGTGCGGCTGCCCAGGCTGGAAGTGGTGCTCCTGGCCAGGTGTGGCCGGCCAAATGCCAATAACTTCCTTGCTTTAAGTGCTGCTGAGTCACAAGCCTGGTGGGGATGTGACGGTGGCACATGTGTCTCCTCCCAGGTACACCCTGCTGTGTGGGAACCCTCCCTTCGAGACCTCCGACCTCAAGGAGACCTACAGGTGTATCAAGCAGGTGGAGTACACCCTCCCTGTCTTCCTCTCCCTGCCTGCCAAACACCTCATTGCTGGCATCCTCAGACGCAACCCCCAGGACCGCCTCACCCTTGAGGAGATCTTGGACCATGAGTTCTTCAAGGTGAGTGGGTGGGGGTCTGGCCTTGACCCTTCTCCAGGTGGGATGAGGCTTTTTGGGCTGTGCAGGGTGCTGTCCTTGGAGCCCAAGTCCTTCAAAGGAAGCAGCCACTGTCCTGCCCAAATGCCAGCCAGGGGAACTGAGGTGTCTGGTGTGCTCCTGCTGCCTTGTCCCTATAGCATGGGCTGTTTCCTGTACTGATGCCAGTTGTGGGGTCAAGGCTTGACAGAAACACAGACTGGCTGTCAGGAGGGCTGTGAGTGACTGCGGTCAGCCCAGGGCAGCTGCTCTGCCTGGAGCACGTGGGCTATGGAAACTAAACCTCTGCCTTGACCTCTCTGCAGGGCTACACGCCTGAGAAGCTCCCTCCCAGCAGCTGTGTGATGGCTCCAGAGCTGAGTCCTCCCAACCCAGCAAAGAGTCTGTTTGCTAAAGTCACCAAGACACTCTTTGGGAAGAAGAAACCCAAGGGTGAGTCCATGCACTTGCCCAGGAGCCTCTGGGTGACCCTTCCTCCAGGGAGAAGTGGGTCCCGTCTCCTGGAGAGACCTCCTGATGGGTCTCTGTAGACCCCCTGCCTGGGGCCAGCACAAGCTGGGCTTGCCCCTGCCCTTCTGGTGCTGGTGGCCAGGCATGGGTGTGTGCCTGGAGAGCGGATGCTGTGCTGCAACCCACAGGGACAGTTCCTCCTGGAAGGCCTGTGTTGCATGAGAACTGGGAAGTGAAAGCGGGAGGCAGCTGCCTGACCATCCTCACCACTGTGGGCATGGGAGCAGATGAGGGAGAGCTGAGCTACCGGGAGGGGTTGCCCAAATGTCTCTATCCCCTGTGCTCAGCAGTGTGCTGATCGCTTGCTCTCTCCTCAGCCAAGAAGGGCTCTTTGGAGGACAAGGATGACATCTCCAAGCTGGTCACTGGGCTGATGAAGACCTCCATCTGCCGGCAGATGAGCTATAAAACCATGGAAGGGAATGAGGTGAGACCATCCCCGAGCCCGTGCACACCCCTCTTTGGGGGAGCAGGCAGGATGGTGATAAAGCCAGGTCTCTCTGCAGGCCACCCCCGTATCATGCCGCAGTGCCAGCTCTAGCCCTGTGGAGACAGTGGTGGAGGAGACATCTCACAAGTCTGTGTCCCCCTCCATCCGGGGGACGATGGCCAGCAGCTGTGAGGGTGAGCAATACCTGCTCAGGTCACCCCAAGCCTGCCCTGAGCTTCCTGTCCTGCCCTGACTGATAGCGGGGCCAGCTGACTCAACCTGTCATCTTCTCTCCACAGCCTTTGAAGACTGCATCACTGCCTCTGCCATCATCGAGTCGGCTGTCCGGCTCCTGCGGACCTGCCTCTCCTCCATGCCCCCAGGTAAACCAGTCAGACTGCTCTAGGATGGGATAGGGTGCTGTGCATCCCCTTCCCCATGGGATGAAGGCACAGCTGCTATTTGGGGTACCTTAAATACTGCCAGAGCCTGCTGTGGGGGGGTCTGCTCCCCCCTGGGGAGGTGAGGTGGACAGGGGCTGGCTGCCTGCTCTGCTCACCCCCTCTCCTCTCCACCAGCGGAGAAAAACCCGGCTTCCCTGGCCCGCCACGAGCACTTTGTCTGGGTGAGCAAGTGGGTGGATTACTCCAACAAGTACGGCTTTGGCTACCAGCTCTCCAACCGCAGCATCGGGGTCCTCTTCAACAACGGCACGCACATGACACTTTCCCCCAACCACAGGTAAGCGATGGGGAAGGGGCTGGTGTCTCTGGGGAAGCCCCTCGGGTTGAAGGGGCTAGGGAAGGCTGTGCCGGGGTGGGTTTGGTGCTGGGTGGCCCTGAAGCTCATGGTCTGCTCCCTCCCAGGACTGTGCATTACAACCCGACCAACAGCAAACACCTTGTGTTCTCTGTGGCTGCCATCCCTGAGCAGCTGCAGGGACAGATGAGTGTCTTGCGCTACTTTGCATCCTACATGGAGCAGCATCTCATGAAGGTGGGTGCTGGGGCCCTGGGCGGGGATCATGGGTAGGCTGGATGTTGGGTCATGGCTTGACCACACCACTTGGGGTTGTGGGGCTCCCTGCTCACAGACTGTGGCCAGGTGGACACCCAGAGAGTTGTGTCCTAGGAGTGGGGACCCCACTGGGGGTGTGTGCAGGTTTTGCTGTGTGTATGCTGGTGGCAGTGCTCCCATGTATGGGACCAGTGGCTTATGCAGACCCTTCTTTCCAAGGGAGGTGACTTGCCTAGCATAGATGACCTCGGGCAGCCGGCCCTGCTCCTCCTGCAGTGGGTGAAGACTGACCAAGCCTTGCTCATGCTCTTCAGCAGTGGCACCCTTCAGGTATATGTGGGGCACAGTGGAGGTGCCCAGACCCCTGTGGGGAGGAGGCTAGGTGGAGACTCCTGGCCTGTGTTAGATCTTGTCTGCCACAGCCCAAATGCAAGGTCCAGCTGTGAAAACAGCTGTGGGTGCAGGATGCTGCTCCAGTGCCTGGAACTGCTGGTCACAGCTTGTCCAGCCCATGGGGGAGATGACGCTTCAGTCAGCCGCTTCCATCTGCCCCGGTGCTGGGGCTGGCGTGTTCCCGCCGTGGGGCATGGAGCAGGGATGCTCCTGGGCAGGTCAGGGAGGAGGAACGGGTTGAGGCAGGAAGTGTGGCTCCATCCTGGCTCCTGTGACATGCTGTGGGAAGTGTGGGTTAAACCAAGCCCAACCTGTCTCCTAGGTGAACTTCTACAATGACCACACCAAGGTGATCATTAGCAAGCCTGACCACTCCTGCCTTGTCACCTACATCAACCGGGAGCGCAACTCCTACACCTACAAGCTGTGCAGCATCCAGGAGCTGGGCTGCTCTCCTGAGCTCCACCACCGCCTCAGATACATCCTCAAGCTCCTCCAAGAACGGGCTGAGGCCTAGCATGGGACCTTGGGAGACCCTCTCTGGATGTAGAGGTCTCTCCCTCCCCTCCCACGGGATGGGAGATATGTTGTAGTGCTGGCTGCCCACCTGGGCACCCTGTATCCTGGTGCTCAGCTGGACTCTGGACTAAGACTTGTGGATGTGGTTACAGCAGCAGGTCTGGACATTCTTGCTGCTCCCTGGCTCTGGGCAATCGCTGTCTTCCTGCTGGCAGCTCCTGCTCTTGTTGTGCTGGTCTTGGAGTGGTCTGGGGTGGCACAGGGAGGTGGTGGGTGAGTGCCCTGCAGCCAGGTTTGGGTCTGGCTGTGCTTCGTTTGTGGCTTGGTGCTCCAGCCTGCCCTGGCTGGCAGCTGCCTGCAGTGAGGGCTTGGGCTGTCCTGCCCAAGGTGGTGCACCAGTTGCACAGACACTCTGCATGGCCTGGAGAGGACTGGCACAGCCTTGACCTCAAGGCTTGGCTGCTGTGGGGTAGGGAAAACACCTTCCCGGGGTGGACAGGGGTGAAGGGCGCTGCCTGCCCTGCCAGGGACTGTGTGGGCTGGTATGTGCTACTCCACAACTGCTACACTAAGGAGGGGGCTGTGCTGGGCTCCACTGTGCCCTGTCTGCTCCCAAATTGTGAATTGTCTAGTATAACTTGAGGTTTGATAAAGGGTAGGGGGATGGGATCTGAGGGCTTGCCTGGAGAAGCCCTTGTCTCACTGGGACCTGGGGAGGTTTCTTGTTTCAGGGCAGTCTCTGCCATGTGGGACTATTTATGTATCTTATTTATATGGAATTATTTATTTTCCTGTTGGTCTGTCTATGTGCAGCTCCCCCATCCCTGACTCACCTCAATAAAAATTTATTTGTGTAAGGGCAAACTGTGTCTGCCTTGCTTGGAGCTGGGGCCTTGGTCACAAAAGGGCTTCACCTTCATCCTTGCCCCAGGGCTGCTCTGTCTGCCAGGCAAGACCCCTCATGACACTGGCTGTTGCTGGGGGACAAGGTCAGGGAGGCAGGATGGGGGTGAGGAGCCCATGTGGTACCTCTACTGCCCTTCCTGGGGCTGGCAGGAAGGGCAGAGTTAGCTCTTGCTGATGCCTGTGGAGCCCTAGAGCTGCCTCAGTTTCTTGCTGATGCCAAACTCTTACTCTCAACTGTCTCTGCCCTTGGACCAAACCCAGCTCTTCTCATGCTTCTGCTGAGCTGGAGAAGGCAGCTGTGGCCCAGGGGGTGGGTTGCCTGGGTCCTTGCACTATGATACCTGGTGTGATGGGATATCAGCTGGGAATGAAGCCAGGAAAGAGGAGGGTGGCTCATCTGCTTCATAAGCTTGCTTTGAAGGTGATCTGTCACCACCTTCCCCAGTGCTGGTGTAATCAATCTGCCTGGGAACAGCTTGCCCTGTGGGAAGCAGGCTGGGCTGCTCCCTGTAGCATAGCCTTGGGCAGCTGCCTGCTCCAGGGTGATGCAGCCTTTTGGGTTGTATTTGCTGCAGTTTGGGTTTTTTTTGCAAACCATGGTAGTGGAAGCTACAGTGTGGGTATGAGCCCAGGCCGGGGGCTGCAGTGAGCATCAAGGCACTGAGGTGCATCCATGCCTTGCTCCCTGCATGCACCATGGCCAAAGCCACCAAGTATGAGCCACAGCTGGAGCAAACCTCTTTATTTCTGCTGCTCTCCCCTTGCAACCCTACAAGGCTGGGTGGAGGGAGAGGCGGGTGCTACTCAAAGTAGACCCCATGCACTGTGGCCACAGCAAAGAGGGAGGTGTTGGAGAAGGTGGCAGAGGCGAAGCTGTCACTCTCAGGGTCCCACAGTGCCCGGCTGGCCACCAGCAGGCTCTGCTGGCCCTGCTGGCCCAGCAGCACATGGCAGACCAGCTTGTAGCGGGGCGGCACCACCTCCTTCGCCTGGCTCCGCAGCAGCTCGGCCAGGCTCTGGGCTAGCGGGGCACTGCCCTGAGGGCTGTAGACCATGGTCCCCAGGGTGCTGGCCAGGGCCCCCTCTAGCACCTGCTGTACCTGCCCTGCATCAAACTTGCAGCCTTTGTCTGGCTGCATCCTGTAAGTGTTTTCGAGGCGGGTCTTGAGGATGGGCTGGAAAAGGGGGAGCCCGGAGAAGCTCACGCGGCTGTGGAGCATCCAGGGGCCGATGGAGGGGTGCCTAACCCCTGGGGCCGCCCCGAGCGAGCTGCGGCGGCTGGCCAGGGGTGCCAGGTGGGTGCTGAGGATGGAGCTGCGGCGGGAGGGCAGGAGCAGCGGTTTGCCTTCCTCAGTGCCTCGTGCAGGGGCTGGGGGCTGGGAGCCGCGGCGGGTGGCCCGGAGTGGAGGGGCTTCGGTGTTGTCCACAGCCATCACCTGGGTTGGCAGGGCCACCTCTGGGGAGGGCTGTTCAGCCATATGGGTAGCCTGGAAAGTAGACATGGCTCTGAGTGTCTGGGGGAGGCGGGTTGTCCCCCAGCCTCTCCATCCCACCGCCTCTCTGCTTTGCTTCTCCCTGCCCCCTGCAAATCCCATGCTTCCTAGCACGTGGGTCCTTGAGGGGCTGGATGTAGAGGGGCTGGGGAGGACCGTGGCAGCTGCCTTCCCTTCTCCAGCACCTCCATCCCCAGCAGCCTCGGCCAGCTGGGGCTGATCCAGCAGAGAGACACATGGTCCATCCAGCCCTCTGGTCTCCCATCCCCAGCCTTTCCTCCTGGCACGGGTGAGCGGCTCCTTCCCCTCCAGCCTCCCAAGCCCTCCCCAGCCCTCCTGCATGCATCTGGTCCCACACTTACCCCTAGCCCCACTCCTGCCCTGCCAGGGTAAAGCCAGGGGACTTGTCTCTAGCCGATGTAGTGCTCCCGGCTGCCCAGGACCAACCTTGGTCCCGCAAGTCGCAGTGAGCAGGGCCAAACCTGTTGTGCTCCTGGAGTATGAAGGGTTGCTATGTGACACTGCAGCTCTCCAGGGCCGCTCTGAGGCACGGCTCCCGTAACTCCTTGTTTCCTGGTCCCTGGACAGCCCCATCCCCTTTCACTCCTGCCTTGCCTGCATTTCCAGCTGTGCCAGCACAGGGACACGGTCGCTCCAGGCATGTGCCCTCCAACCTCAGCTGCTCCCTGCCAGCCCTGAAAAATGCTTGCTGGTGTTGAATATGCAAAGGAAGAGCAGGGGGTGGAGAATACCCACTGTGATCGCCACTTTGCACCCCAACTATCGGCTGCACTGGGGCTGGGACCTCCAACAGCTTGATTTTACCCAAAGGTTTGCAACCTTTGGGTACTTAACCCCCCTGCACCAAGGGAGAGTGTGAGCAGGTGGGCACCCATCAAGCATAGCCCTGCCACGTGCCAGGGACCCTGCTGCGCCCTGAGGAGGGCAGGTTTGCTGGGAGGTCCCGACCCCGAACGGGCTTTCTCTCTGCTGGCGGAGCCCAGCCCAGCTGGTACGCTACGGCTGTCCCGTCAATGCGCCTTTGTCTGGCCCGGCTGCCGAGCTATTTGAGGAAAGTGGAGACGGCTTTTGTGTTTCTATCTCCCGTCAGAGGTATTTATAGCCTGCTGCTGACTAGTGCTGCCAAGCACGCTGGCAGCTGGGCCCCGCTCCCTTGGGGTGCTGCCGTCGGCTGCGGGCCCTGCTCCTCCCTCTCCCTCCCACAGCCGCTGACAAGCGAAGGTGGGTCCCTCCATGGGCACCCTCCCTGAGTCCCCGTCCACGGGCTCCTTGGGGACAGCCAGGCTTGGGAGAAAGGGGACTGGGCATCCCCTGGCACAGCACTTGGTTTGGGCTTGGGCGAGGCTGGTTATGCTTTTTTTCTGCCTGCGATTGCTTGTGTCCTAAGCAGACATGAGAGCTGCAGGGCTTTGGCCTGGAGCATCAGCAGGAGAGAAGGCTTTTGCCATTTCAGGGGGCAGATCTCCCCGCTGGGCTCGAGTTTGCTCCGCTGCCGGGTGCCGGGGACGCAGCCATGCCCAGCGGCTTTCCACGGGGGCTGTGCCTGTGGAGGTGATCTTTGTGCATTTAACCCATGCGTGTGTTGCCTTTTCCAAGATCCCAGCTGCCTGCTTCCCTTCACCCCCATCTGCCCCATCCACGGGCTCCTCTGCAGCAAAGCCACCGGCTGGGGGGCAGGTCCCCGTGCCGGGGCTGTGCCATGAGACGCGGCAGGGGATGCCACTTGAACCGAGATGCAGGCCTGCCTCCCCGCTCCGCTCCCATCCGGCAAAAGCC